AACAGCAACAGAAACAGCAACAGAAACAGCAACATCAACAGCAACATCAACAGCAACAGAAACAGGAACAGAAACAGCAACAGAAACAGCAACAGAAACAGAAACAGCAACAGCAACAGACTAGTTTGACTTAATGCATTCTAGTCCCACAACAGCCACCACTTTGTACTACTTTACAGCAATAGCACATGTTCCTGAAACTAATGTGGTCACACACTGGTGGGATTCAAAAATTCAGCACCTGCCCAGCTGTAAACTGCAGTACAAGCCAGTTGAATTAGTCAACATAGTCAGTACATGCAAAAAAGGGCCTGTAATCTACAACTGAATAGCAGAGTTAAATGCCTATTCTATATAATAACATTTTCCAGAGACCCAGGGTAGAGAGAATTCCCATTCAGAGGAAGGGGGTGTTAGTACCTTGGTACTAGTTCTGCCTATCAGTACTAGTAGTAGGTACAGCAGGTCAGGTATGTGTCAGCATATAAATCAGTACAAAAGTTTTGACAGCAGGATAATTTTCAGAACCAAAGTGTCATCTGTGTGTTCTGAATCATTTGGGTTAAGAGATTCCTGCTGTATTTACAAAATTTTCTTTTGAAAATTATAATTTGAATACAAATAATTTGGATGACAATGAATCTCCACTATGAAAGAAAGGATCCATGTCCAAATCTTCAAACAGGAACCTGAACCAGAACAGTCTACTGCAGCTGTGAGTTGCAGCAGGAATTAGGGCTGGGGGTGGAAGTGGAAATGAATATTGTAATGAAAAAATAATCACTTCTTTTTCTTTGTTTGTCTCATGCTGCTGCTGCTGCTGCTGCTGCTGCTGCTACTACTACTACTACTACTACTACTACTGCTACTACTACTACTACTACTACTACTACTACTACTACTACTACTGGTGTTGGTGATATCTACCTGCAACAGGAGGTCATCTGTCCAATTTTATAGAAGGATTTATGATTGGTTGTTTGTGTGCAGCCAGCAGCAGTTGATTTGACTGAATTTTCCAGGAAGTCTGCTTTTCTGTAACTTAAAAAGGGGATTGGTGGAACTAACACCAAAAATAGTTGCCTAAAAACAGAATAAACAAAGAAATTGATGCATGGAGAGGCTGGGGAATCTTCTTTAAATTGAGTATGCAGCATATTATAGGCTCTGTCAGCCAATATACAAACCAGTTGTACATTTTGGGCTATCTTTCCCAAGTAAAATATGCCAAGCGCACCAATATACATCACAAAATCTTGTCCAACTACACCATTTTTTCTATGGAATTTTTGTCATCTTGATAATCAAATTGTCTGAAATACATTCTCAATGAACATATTTAGTACCTTGATTACTACTTGCTTCTGATATCCAATACTAAACCAATACTGCACCAACACTGCTACTCCTTCATGATGTTACTACTAGCAAAAACTCAAGTTGTTGTCAATTGTTAGACACAGAGGAGTCATCACAACTGTGTGCTGAAGCTACCATTATCCCAGTGAAAGCGCTTCTTGTTGTTCCAACATCCAACATCTAATCAACCTCCCTTGCTGACACTATTAGCAGTATCATAAATGAGCAACAGTTTGTCCCCAGCAGCACTAATCAGTAACAGTTTTCCCTCAGCAACACTCATATCCACAACAGT